CAATATCAATATCTATGAGCGTTTCTTCCTCAGAATGTTCACAGTTGTTCTAAATCAAATACCGTATCGAAGTCAATAGAGATGATAGAGTTCCTGTTTCATATTTCCGTTTCACGCGAGTCCATGGCGTCAATGATTTGCCAACTAAATCAAACAATATCAATTATCGTATATTTCGGAACTAAGATTGCTAACAACCAGTGATTTAGCGGATTACCGTGGCTTTGAGTCAATTAGCAGCGATTTCAGGAGTACCTGGGAGTAAAACAGATTTCTAGGCTAATTAGAGTTTACAAAGTATGACGGTTGATTTTCGCAAATTCTTTTCATGAATGAAGACCTCCCCTCACTAAGTGCTCAGCAGCTCGACCATCCCGGAAAGCGATTCCCACAAATAAACGCATACGATCCAATGTATTTTCAGAACTCTACCTCCTTCGTCTCCATCTTCATCAGGTATCATGCTCTATATACGTCTTTCGTGGCACCAGCTGCAAGTGAGATATCGTGTGTGCTATCATTCTGTAGCTCGATCTACAGAAGATCGAGGGAAAATCCCTGATAATTCATTCTAATTCCTAGGAATTACCTAGATTTCTGGCGATTCACTGGAATTCCTCAATAATTCACTGTAGACCCTGGTAATCCCTGTTTCCTTGAAATCTGAGTTTCGAATTATACAGCGATTGATTTTTTCTCAACTAATTTGTAGTTCATTTACGCCACCCAATGTCTCACGAAACATGAACGCATGTTATATTGCATAGCCCAACAAATAGTTATTCACATGTTCGATTCGTTTGTTATGTTAGATTATTGCTCATTCCATACTTCAAAGAACGAAACACGAAAGTGACATCCCTAGTTCGCAAAGAGGCTAAGGGAAAAACAAGTAAACTTTATTTCTGAGTCAAGACAACTTTCTTACTTGTGCATCACGAACGTAAGTTAATTTAGATGGAAGCTTGAATTTGGCTGAAGTTTCGCCACTGTCTTTGGAACTGTTACAGGATAACAGAAAGAAAAATGAACACTGAACCACGAGGAAAATTCTATGATCCATATTATAGTCCACTGCGTAGAGACAATGTTTGCACGTCTACTCGAAAATGCCAATACTCTGTAACGGAAGAAAAGTCGATAACATTTTGGTATGTGTGCATTCACATATGACGAAGAAGAATGAACTGTAAAAACGACGAAAGTAACGATGCTAATCACACATGCACTTCATGCTGCAATGCCCCACTTTGGATATTAGAATCTACGGTGCCTTTCTATCTACAAATTTAAACGTAACGAGAGAAAAAGTGAAAGAAAGAAGAATAATCACAGCATTAAAAGGTCGTCAATCATAGCTGCCAATACATTACGCATGATCAATAATTGTTAGGGCATTGCTGTTTCTACAAAAGTCATGGTCTTGCAGAAAATATATGGCTTTTCATTTAACACTGTTGGTGACACATTATATTTATTATTCCTTTAAAATCGAGGATAAAGACAAATCAATCATTTATTTTTTATTAAATTAAGAAAAAGCGAAGGAATAAAGGATTCTTTTCTTGAGCGATATTTTTTTACCAGTGTTCTGGGATCACGGAACTTATATGGTGTTCCAGATGTTTTGTAGCGATTTTGCAGTAGGTCGTCTCTGCATTTCACAAAAGCAAACTTTTCAAAACTTTCCTCGATTCTTGCACATATATAGTACTGCACAGCTGTACATTTTCATGTCTGAAGGTTGGACGTTGGATAAGAAACTATAACAGCACTAATATGTACAATTTTTTAAGGTTTGCTGCTTAGCTTGACTATTGTTTTGAAAACAATGCAACTTTTAAGAAATAAAAAAACAAATCACAAATTATCCATGTTCCTGTATTTGATTACCGGTCATGTCGATAAGCTTTTTTTAATCAGATTGACATTTTATCTATTGTCTACTCAAAAAAAAAGTACTAAATTAGTTTCATTTCTTTTAATGTAGTTTGTCAACTCATCAATATCAAATTCTATTCAAATTCTCTTGGTTTCTCTTTCTATAAAATCGAAACAGTTTCTATAGGTGAAATGCTACCGCGTTTTGGAGCACAATTTATTTGTTCAATTCGACGGATAAAAACATGTTTAATGGCGTCCACATTTACTTACTTTGTTTGTTCACTATCTCGATCATCCTGAAAAATAAAATGAAACAAGAATGAAACAAAAGGACGAAGGCTATTTTACGAATGTTTCGGTTTAATTAGAAAGTGAAAATCAATTCAGCTGAAACTTCCAGGGAATCTTTCATAGAGTAATTGTAGTCAACCCTACAAATCTCAGCTTTACCTGTTGAACTCTTCGTTTATTTCATTCAATCAAGTAAACTGTCCTCCAAATAGGTAAACACATGCCTTAGAGTGAGCTTTGTGAACCTTCGTACTCTACTATTTGATTCAGATCCAGAGCCATTCTTCTTGGACCATTAGCAAATAAGAATTGCAAGAAAATTGAAAAATAAGAGGCCGTGCAAACCATGCCCTGGTAACATGATGAAGTAAACACTAAGTAAAATATGGATAAACAATAACTTAATAGATTTTAGTCACAAAAATGAAGATTGAATCAAAATTAGCATCATATTGGGAATCAACATAGATAATGGAGCTGGTTTATAAGGATCTGAGAAATTGTTGAGACATTTTTTATTTTATCACATAATTCACCCACAGATGAGTTTCAAAAACAGAGTAGCACTAAATAGAATAATAAAGAGAAGACTTTTTTCTCTAGTTTGTCGTGTGTCGCTAGGAAAATCCGAACAGTTCTTGTTGAGTGCAGTTTAATTTTCGTAATAGAATAGGATTTCGACAGCATAAGTCACATACTCATGAAATTTCAAAATATCTCTGCATTTCAGTTTTTCCATTTACACGATTGAATGTCATCGATTAAATACTCAAGTTGTTCTATAAAATCCATTGGTATCATATGGCATCAATCACACTATTTAGCAAAAACATCTAATCTTCAATTGTATGATTGCTTACAACTATTTATTCTCTTGTTATATGGTTATGATAAAATATTCACGTAATACAATGCACATTTATTTCACCAACCGCCCTTATGTCTCTCCCTCTTCATGATATGGTCGATTAATTTGCCGGAGAAAACAGAAAGCATCTATATGGAATTCCAGTATCGAAGATCTGATTATTCATCGTAGAATACAGAACGTAAATCTTCTAACATAAATGCACTAAGAAAATTCAGTATACCATATATTGAAAACTCAAGAGTGATTCAAAGCTCTCATTGTCAAAAACTCCTTCAAAATAAAAATTTAGCTTCATTCAAAAAATGAAATCTTGTCAATATTGTACGAATCTCATCAAGATCATGAATCGATATCTATTTTATCGAAAATATGCGTTAATATTTTAAATGACAAAGAGTGGGATGCTGTTTATTTTTAATAACCAGAATTCGCATAAGAAAATCTGACCTAATTGCCACTGATGTAATATATGAATAATTGTCACTGAGTGTGTTAATAATGATGATATGTAAAAGTTTTAGAAAAATAAAATCGATAATAATATAATAATAACAATAATGTGGATTACAAAAAAAGCAATGATGAAATTGAAGATCAATAATAAAAAAAAACAGAAGAAAAGAAAGCAAAATAACACAAAACTAGTTGCATCGAAAATCAATGATGACTTAGTAATGATTGAAAAAACGAGAGGAAGAAAGGATCAAACCATTAATAATATATATAATATAATGTATAGTGGCGAGGTATGCCATCTTTTGACGCTAACAACTGTATAAACAATCATATCACCGGCGTGTAATTTTGAAGGATGAGTTTTCGGAGGAAACGAAGCTGTATATTCGGAACTAGCATACTCCATTGCTCCTACCGCCATCACAATCTGAAGAAGATGTCTCTGTACACAGACACACAACAGAAATATAACCAAAAAACATTCATAGAACAACAAAAAGTTAAAGGGCCTTGCACACGGTTCGAACCCATGTTGCATCACACATAATATATTAGATACTCGGCTGTATGCGAAGTTATTCTGTTTTTTATCCTCCAATTGCCTTCTTCAATTAGTTTATTAAAATGTTGTTCTAGCGAGGATTCACAGTAATAATATCATGAAATGTGATGATATGTAAGGTGCCCGGAATGCAAAATTCAAGTAAAAAGTTGTTTTCGACTTGTTTTCACATCATTTGATAGAGCTTGAGCTGCTGATCACGAAAAACTACTTTTTAGCTTAAGTCAATATTTCCCTCCGGTCGAAACATGAAATACTCGAAGGGTACCCTTTTCTTCAAAAAACACATCTTTTTCAAAATGTGCGAAATTTTCTACTTCGTTCTTTTTTTTCAGATTCAGCATCAAAAACTGAGTACAGATAAGTTGTTAAAATGACTGTAGATCCCAAGCTCTATTATTGGTGGCGCTTCGAATCCCGTCGACTATGATGCGTATAGGTCGGTTTTGTAAACCTACCTAGTTTTTTTGTGTAAACGATGGAGTCAATTATTTTATCTCATTCCATTCATCATACCACTTGTCATCAAACTACGCATCCTTTTTTTTCTTTTCTTTCCTTTGTCGAGAAAAGTCGTTTTTACTGTATGATACGAAAAAGGGGGAACTTATTTTTGCATAAAATGTTTGTTTTTTATTCAAATCAAGTGAAAATTTGTTCACATAGATAAAAACTGATGATGAATCCAATGGGCATGCTTTCAAGGCCTGTATGAAGTCTTCAGAAGATCTGGAAAATCTTTTCTTGAAAAATCATGGTTTGCTGTGATTAATCGATATTTCATGATCTTTAATAGATAGATTGGCCACCCTTCATGCTTGGCTATATAATATGAACGGGAACATACAGGATAAAAGTATCGAAATCGAAAAATATAGGTTCGTTAATATTTTTATTTGATATTCTACATGTTGATTGAACTGATTGTTTGCAGATTTAGCTGAAAAACAGTTTTAATACGTCAGCATATGTTTGACGTTGAGAATATGCTTCAATCGAACCCCCAAAACGTCGAAGTAATTTTAATACAGTTTTTCGTTCGATGAAATGTATGCGCGAATCCGATATTAGTTTTATCATGTTTTTACAGTTTTGATCTGTACATGAAGGAACAAATGCCTTTTGATTACACCAGAGACCTTCAATTGCGTTTAGTTCGCAATGATATTTAGGGCAGTATACAATCTTAATTTTATATTTAATTCCTAGCATGTCAAGTTTTGTAGCCTGAATAACAAAATAAATGACTCAGGATCGAATTTGTCTTGAAAAAACTAGAATGGTATTCACTTACATTTTGGAAAGCTCGATGTGTTGAAGGTATTTTAATAATTTCATCTAATTTAATTTTAGCTGGTGGTTGTACGCCTAAATCTTTACATAGTTCAACTAAATCTTTTGATTGACCTTTGTGTTTTTCCGCTTTAAAATAACAATCAATAATCCTTGTTGTGCCATTTTCATCAACATATTCGATTTGTTCGACCGGACAATGAGTACCAACGCTTTTACCAAAGTCTTGTAATGAATAGGATTTGGTAATGTGAGTTCTTTCGTTGTCCACGATAATTTCTATTTGATTATTCTTATATTGTTGTTTGAATTCTAGCATTCGAAATCGCCTTTCAGACTGTCTCAGAATCGTATCATTATCGAAATACGCGTCTGTTCCAATAATAATAATAATAGCTGTTGCTGTTCGATCAAGACAATTAACATCACCATCGGCACTTAATAATTTATATTTTCCGACACCTTGTTTCCATTCATTTTCACCAAGTTCAAAAAATGGTCCACAAGGATGTTGAACAAGAAAATTAGAAATCATATGACTACGACCGCGACCTTTTGGAAAAAACAGTATATTTTCTTTAAAAAACCAGCATTTAGGGTGAAGGGTGGGTGTAGGTGTGGTTGTAGTTTAACGGAAGATGAACGCCGACACCGACACCGACACCCACACACTCACACCCATTCGATCTAGTACAAACCGGTTTTTCGTTCGTTGTTGACGGTAAAAATTCTGACAGAAGGAACGATTATTTCGTTGTTCTCCTGTCTAAATTCGCTACTGGTCACGAGTTAGACTATGGTTTTCTTAGTTCCATTGAGTCCCATTCATAATCAGAACATGAAGTCGAATAGCATCCTACAGTTGAAAATGTTTCTCTGTTAGTCTCGTTTTTCAACATTTTCAGTGTGAAAATAGTCGTCGCTTTTCTCATTTCTAGTTTTCCCATGTGTTCATGATCACCAGATTCTCTAATAATATTTATTCATCTACTTTTTGATAGAAAGTTGAATGTTCGTTTAATTGTAAATTGTATTTTCATTATTGTTCACATCAATATCATGTGGATGCAAAACCTGAGATCAAATGTGATTGTTGAAGATCGCCTTGTTTTCTAATCAAGAACGACATATTGCGAGAGGCGGCCATAAGATGGACATATTATGATACAAATCGAACGGTAGACTCGTCGGTCTATGCGTTGTTCAGCTGGACAGATAAGCTGAAAGTGATGAGCCAACATAAAACGGGGATGAGTGTTCTCTTGGATATCTCCTAGCATATAATAAGTTAGGAAAATAGTGAAAATCGAATTCTCGAAATATAAGGAGATACAAATCGAAATATAAGAAGATAGACTACGGAGATTCTCAATCTTTCAGATCATTTAAGTCAAAAACAGTCATTTAAAGCCACTAAGTCATGTAAAGTCATTTAAATAATTTAAGTCATAACGTCAATTCTTTTCCCCTTGAGTTAGTGAGTGCACACCCCTAGCTTCATTTTGTCATGTTGTCAGCATCTGTCATCCGATATTTTCCTGTCTTATATTTGAATATTCGAAGTCTAGTTACTTTCATGCACATACTCTCTCTATTCAGGAATCACTCATGTATGAAATTCCGACTTTTGTTCGAAATATATTAGAGGTTCTTTTGATCTAACTTGAGATCTGGATATCTATCAATAATAGAAGATGTCAGCATCTAGCAAGTTGCATATATGTGAATTCTTCTTTGTAATTGTCCATCAAATAATGAATATGGATAAGTCTCATGTAACTGTGGATCAGTAGCGAATGGTTCTTAGGCAACGTTCTCTTTTGAATTTCCAGAACCTTCTACAAAACCTATAGTTCAGTAGAATATTCTTTCACTTGTTCGTATGCTATTCCAATATTGTTATAGATGTTGTTCTTACCTGTGTAGTCCAAAAGACAAATTCTTAGTCGAATTTCTAGTGTCTTCTGTAAATGGACGAGTACTGATGGACACTCGCTAAGATCAAGAGGAATACTGCCGAGATCATTGTGGGTAACGCATAGTTTATAGTCCTCAGGAGAGTGACATATTTGAGTGCGGATGTATGTTAAGTGGATACCCACATCCACATTCCAGTAATAAATACATCAATACAAACGAGTTGTAAGTTTTTTGCACTTCATAATCAAGCATTTCTTTTTAAATATAACCAATCCAATTATTTCTTTCTTAATACAAAAGCTTGTTCGTTTCTTTGCGTACCTTTATTCGACAATAAATAAAAAATGATTGCTCTTTTTGAATAAAGACTTTTCGATAAGAAATTAACGGGTGTATCGATAGTTCTGAAATACAATGTTTGTTCATTTTTCGCCTATATGAAAGTGTTTCAGAAGAATCAAAAGCTATGAAGTGAATTAGAACGAGGATCTTGTGCTCTTTCCAAACTTAGATTCAAAAATTTTGTATCGAATAGGGCATGGATGTGGCTTTGGATTTGGATTTGTCTATTAGTGTTAGTTAAGATAAGATCAATCGACACCTCACACTCACGCCCACACCCAATACATGATTGAACAAAAATGTTTGATTGAACATGTTGAACGAAAATTGAGTTATTGTTATCAACTTTGTTTTCTGCGAAAAAGTGCTTGAAAAACAAATTGTTTGACAGCTTTTGATAATACATTAGTTAACGACTTCAATCTTTTCACGAAGACTCTTTAATTATTTTCTAACTTTAAGTTTTTAAGAGCAGCTATTCAATAGTCTGATCTCGTCAGACAGAATGCTGGATATTTCTCGATTCGACGGGATCTCGTAAGATTTATTGATTTTTGCCTCTTAGTATTTCCTTCGGAAGATTCAATCGTCCTAAACTATCTGAATGATAATGGGTTACAATAGACTTCTTCATATCAAAATTCTCAGTTGATAAATGATAAGGTTCGATAAGATCTAAATGGAAGGCACTTTTGATTAGTTTGGATATGCAGCACCTTTGAAGTGCTCCTCAGTAACAGACTTTTTTCTCCTATTTCATTATTTTATTAATATGAAATATTTATGTTGCATTTCTACAGAAAAAAGAAACAAGTGAAAACATTGCACAATGCATAATCCTTATGTTCTCTTCCTTTTCATACATATTAAAGTATCCTCTCGTTCCAGAAAATTATTTAGTGATAGTCTATATGTCTCTAAATCACAAAAACAAGCAATCAAATGTGAAACGAAACAAACACAAAGAAAAAAAACGATGTGCGTCAAAGTATACCAACTAAAAGTTTCATCATAGTAAGCATAATAAAGCTACTTCTCATTCAGAAACATCACATGATCAAATGTCGCTAAAATAATTTCTTTTCTTTCTCTTCTGTACATATGAACCCAAATATATTATCACCATAATCGATCAAAACTGATACATCGAATGAATCATTTTAAAAACTTTCAAGCAAACACATTTTTTTAAATTTTAAGACAACATGAAAGTCACATGTTGGTATGTCAAAATTCACTCTCACTCAAATGTTTTACATCTTGAAGAACTGAAATTCAATTTGATTCGATATAATTTATGAAAAAATTAATTTTTTTCAGATTAGCCTATATGAAGTTTAATAATACGAATTATCTTTCACTTTGATGTTAAAGCAATCATCAATTAATAAAATATATTGTTCAATAGTCTAATTTATCTAAAATCATTCGTATTTATCTAAAGTAAAAATATTTTAAGATAATGAATTGTGGCATATAGATTAACAAAGAAAAGAAAAGGATTTGAAATGTGATCATATATGAAGAGAAGATCTGCATGCTTAAGTTTTGTATAAAGAAAAATGATGTTAATTATGAATAGTTTAGCTTTTGAAGATAAATCTTCAACGAATCAATTCGTGTGTCCATGAATATTTTGACATTATTCTTGTCTAAACAATGAATGAAGTTTGTACTTATGTAATACACGTAAATGAATCAATTATCTTTATGTTTTAGATGATACGTACACGGAGCAGTGCAAATATATCCTAGAGCTAAGATAGACGTAATTGTTCGTTGATAGTATGATTTTTGCCGTCGTCTATATTTTCTTTATAAGTGACGACGTACAACGACAAATCACGAGCAGGGAGTGACAATAGATAAATATAATGATAATCGTAGGATTCAATTTTTGATCAGTCGTCAATGTTCTCATGTGCCCATGATTGAAAAAGAAAAGTCAAAATGAGTGAGTCATTCAGATTCTAGTATTTATTAACTATAAATTTCATTCTAACCAATTGACAATATTCCTATGCCCCTACCATCTTGAAAAAAGGCAAAAACAAATGGCATATCCGCATTCTCAATATGAAAGTCACTGTAGTGCATATTCCTGTTACACAGCAAAAGGTATGAAATATGAGCCATTCCTAACTCAACCAAATACCTGTGTCCATTGAAACATATTTTTTGCCTTCGATGACATCTGTTGTGAAATACAAATAGTATTCGTTGGCGTCCAAAACTTTTTTTTACGTGTTTAACACTTTTGTTAGAAAGCAAATGTGCTGAGATATTATATTATGAAGAAGTATGCATGAAAGATATTTTTTGTTTTTGACATGAAAAATATTAACAAATATGAGTATAAATTACTGAGTTAACTTATAAATAGTTCATGAATATAAACGCCGATTATAGACGAGGAAAATAAAGCAGAACTGTGTCCTAAAACACAAAAACATATAATTCGTGGATACAAATAAAATAGGTAATGCATATTTTTCGTTAAATACGATTGAAAATGACTGTTGAACTTTAGAGCGAGAAAAGCGAATCGAATTTACGGACTACAGTTTTATGGTTTTTTTTGAACCATGGAATTCTGAATTTTTGGATTGCAATATTACGATTTTTGGAACCTCAAACTGCTTTACTTTGAAATGGTTCGGGTTTTTTTCATCGATTTGAACTCTCGAAGCGAAAAATCTATCTTCCTCTTGCGTGGTGCGGTACATGAAACTCGATCACAGACAGTCACATGCACTTGAACGTAATTTTTCCTAAACTGTCGAGAGGATTGCGATGAAAATAACAACTATCTTAATATCGATGTGAAACGTCTCCATTGTGTTTCACATTTTAATCACCTATAAAATGCGCTGACAGTATTTTTCTGTCTAAATAATTTTCAAAAATCAAAAACTGAAATACAAATAAAAAAGATCACATACACGATATATCAGACACTACATGATATCGTTTAGGCATTTCAATATCATCACCACCGATCTTTTTTATTCCATTCATTAAAAATTCTAGATATTCGAACATATTCACTTGCTAGAAAAGAAATTTCAAAACATAGAATATAATCATCAAAAAAACGTCACTTGATTTTGTATTAGTTGAACTTGATTTTCTAGTTTTTTTATTTTGTTTAATATGGTCTCTTGTGGTGAATGTCTAATTAAAAGATAAAATGCGATTGACAATACATCTCGATATATAATACTTACACTCGGTCTTCGTCAAAATCAATTTGACAATCGACTACTTTTCGATCAGTTTTCAAAAAAAAATAATAAACTTCATTACCAATTGCATCTTCAATTGATTCAATTTTTCTCGTTAATTCATAATCAGCAACAATTTCTGCGAAAAAAAAAGAAATGAATTGAATTCTATAGATTTCTCTACAACTCACTAAATTTCGATCGATTTTTATGTTCACGATATTTCTTACGAAACCATGGTGATTTAATGTAAGTCGAGAAAAAATAGAGTATTAAACGCCAAAGATGTATTATAATAACAAATGGTGGTGGTAGAGATGGTCTTGATAAATAATAAGATACTAATGAATAATGTTGAAATTTCCAAATACAATCAGCATCCATATGCAAACGATCAAATGTGTTACTTTAAATAACATACAATTCAATAGATTTAAAATATAATTGAAATATAATTTATCAAACAAAGAACAAGATTTGTACAGATTTTGATATTATCTAGAGTGACTGGATGAAAAAAAAATTCTGAATAAACTATCCATGGCAGACGAATAGGTTAATTTAGTATCATTCTAAATACTTTGGAACGGCTTAGAGAATTATACCTGAACATTGCTATAAGAAGATTAATAAGAAGAACACTTGCAACGATCATATAAGCAATGAGTAAAATAAACACAACATAACCACTAATTTCATAATTTTCTTCGGAAAAAAACAAAACAAAAAAGATGATATATTAATGTATTTTTTAACAAATACTCACTCTCTATTTCATCAAGTGCTTCTAATTCGCCAAATATTTGCCAGTAAGCAAGATTTATAATAGCCCGTGGTAGATGTCTAGTAAATTTTTGTACACCATATATGAGACTATAGGTAGGCACACCAAATGCCAAAATAAACACGGTTAGCATTAGCATGAAAAATTTGAGGTCATGTATCTTAATTGAAAAAAAGAGAATATTCCAGAGGTGTAGAATTTGCCGTAAAAATAAAAAATTTCCCCGGCTCCCAAAATGAGAAATCCCTCTTTATTTGGCCATCATTATTCGTAGCAAAAAGAGCTATTTCACTTACAGATAACCTGATACTTAAAACGCAGATTTTACTGATCATCAATGGATTCCGGAAATCTTGGAACTTGTGTTTTCTTCAAATGCTTTAACACAACTGATTCAACTGATATAAGTTTTCATGCTTGGTATTGCTCACTCTTCTCATAAAACAGTCAAAAAAAGGAAAGAAGACGAAGAAGGTCGCTCTTAATGAATAGCTAAAGGAAGAAAATAAACAAACTAGAGATATTGCTTAGTGATTTTTCTCTGGAGGAGAAATCGTTTTTTTGCAAAGTTTCAACACATTACCATTTCACCGATCATAACTAATTTAGGACCGAGATGTTTAATAGCCACAAACATATCAAGTGTACGTATATACCAAAGTGATAAATCAACTGCAAGAATAATACGTGCAGCACAAAAGCATTGCGTTGTTGGCCAAATTCGAAGAATGAATCCAAGAAAAAAAAGAAATATAGCCAAGAGATCTAATTTATTCCAAAACACTGAAAAATATGCTATAATTTTGCCATAAATTGATTTTAATTCAATTTCAAAAATCTTAAAATAAATAGGGCATTTATTGTTCAAATGAAAGTCTAATATGAACAATTATTGTTACTTGTCGTATTTCATCGCAGAGTAAAGCGAAAAGCCATACAACTAGGATAATTTCAGTTGTTGCTAATTGATTATGACGATGACGACCATAGCGAAATGATTGACTATTATTCGTCGTTGTTAATAACTTTTTAGTAATACTATCGTTAGAAATATCAATGGCGGTATTGACTTCACCATTTTCTAAGCATTTGTCCGATTGAAATTCGTAGAGAGGAAAAAAGTCGCATAAAATTACATAAGAAAACAGCATAAGAAAAATGATATGGGAGTACTAAAATAAGAAAATAAAGCAATAAAAGAGTTTATTTTCATGATTTGATGAATATCTCAGAAAAAAATGTTATCTAAATGTCTCAGAGGCGCATAGAACGTCGCACCTTTTCCTGCTCTGAGTGATGAGTTACGCCTTGAGATGTCTTACCAAGTTGTAAAGATATTTAACGTATGGAGCATGCAGAAACATTAAAACGTTCTTCAAATATTGATTCACATTAGTTTTTGTTCTAAAGGCAAAGATGTGTCATTCTTTCTATGAAAAATTTTTTCTCAAAATACTTTTTCCAACGACGAGAACCAACAACACGAACAGTTCCTTCTTCTTCGTCTTGCATATCTTGCATTAGTCTCAAGCGTGCTTTGTCTGCTGTTCTAAAATAAGAATCACATACAAAACATGAAATTTTGAAATAAAATTGTCTACTTATTCATTTGATGTTGTAATCGTGATGTGTTATGATGAATAAAACTTGATTTTTGACTAGAATTCTACGAAGACAAAGAAACTCTAAAATAAATTCTTCTTCAACATACAAAACTTTTCGAAGGAAATTGTTCAGTTCTTTCAACCATTTCTTGATGATAATGAAGAAATCCACTGTACCACAGCATAATAGTGGAAAAAATAATGAGTCGATTGTCTTCTATATGATCAATGTAGCCATACCTATTCAATAAAAATTAAATTTCATGTAAATTTATTTTAAAAGGTTATACCAAATATCACTAAGTACATGTTGTACAGCTTCTTGTGCAATAAATTGTTTAGCTTCAATCATAACAGCTAAATGTAACCAAGTCGCATTTCCAAATTCTGGTATTTGTCGAATTATTGCTTTGGTACATGCACCTGGATCTGTTAGATAGAACTTTTCAAGTATTTGTACAGCTAAGTTTTGAAATTCATCCGCCAATGCATTATAACTCGGATCTTTATCTTTGCGTGCTTTGATCTTGTAGAGTAATGTTGCTATAAGAGCAGCACCTGATATTATTGAAAACAAAACAAACAATAGTGAGAAAATTCTCGAATCAAATGTTTTCTCACAAATCTTGTTCTTTCCGCGTGCCCAGAACAGTAAGGCAAGATCTTGTTTACCAGTTATTATCGACCAGAGAAAAAGTTCTTTATCGACATTCATATGAGTAATAATTGAACTTTTCGAGGCTGAAGAAAAATGATCGAATATACATATTTAATCGAAAAAAAATGTAATCAATAAAGTGATTTTACTAGATCAACGATTTTTCTTTCATATTTCTATTTTTTCCTCGATAAACTCACCAATCGATTGCATACTACCGTTGGTATGCTGAATAGATAAATTCTCAAGATAAGTTATCGTACAACATGAACACATTTCATCATCCCATTCAATATCGTCTGAAGCCTCATCTGGATTAAATACAGCATTGACTTCAAAAAAATCGCCCGTAAGTGGTTGAATAATTTCCTTATAGATTGATCGTAGAGGATTGTTCAAATCTTGTGTTAAATTAAAATTCTACAAAAGAAGATCTGTTTGTATAGATATAAAGCAGAGAAAGAGAGAATACTTCATTTTTATAGAGCGTTACGAGCTTTTCATGATTTTCAAAGAGATCAACTAATGAAAAGTCATGATCGAGAAAAAGTTGAACAAAATTTATTTGATTTCGAACAAGTGCCATTTCGAATAAATCGTTTAAATCGGTTAACTACGGACCGAAATAAAAGTCTATGGATTTAAAAAAACCATTGCATTGATGATTTTACTAACCTTCCAATCTCGATCATCTTTCATAATAAAATTTTTAACAATATCAGTTCGATTCCATTCAAGTGCCAAATAGAGTTGTTCACGCTTTTGTTCAATGGTGGTTTTCGAAGAATCATTGCCAGAAGTTGCTGCAAAATATTGTACAGACTTCGAGACAAAAAACAACAACAATTCTTTTCTTTTACCGTTGAGTAACACTTGCAAAATAGCCAAATCCATATCTGCTTCGATTAGACTATGTGTATTAAAATTGATAATATTTAACAATATTTTTCGTGTTTCAATACATTCATAGATCAATTCAAAATAATCTGTTTCAACATTTTCACTCGATATTGTTTGATTAATTTCATTGTTATTTATTTTGAGTTTTTCACGAAGTTTATTTTTGATTTGTTCCTTTTGTTCTGGTGAAAAATCTGATTCAGCACTAGAAGACAAGACATAATACCAAATAGAATCGACGAATACTATTCAGAAGGACTAGTTTGAAAGAGTGCAGATGGGCGAGGAAGTATCAATGGAGGTCGATCGTTGTTAGGAGGATATATAACAGAACATAAGAAAATATTATCTATTTCGACTTAACATACGTTGTTCGATCAGATATGTCCGTTTTACTATAATATTCATTGTACAAATAGTAAGCTTTGGCAAACAAATCACAACATCCACCTGTGCCTTCAAGCAATACAACAGGAATGTTATTTTGAATGATAGTTTCATGAACTAGAATATTAAAAAAACTAAAGAATTACAGTGGATGAGAATTTTTTGATCGAACCTGTTTTAATTACTTCTAGACCACCTTCGATAACAAGAAGAACAACAGGTACAAAATCTGAATAGAAAAAAAAGATGATTTGTTTTTGTATTACTTGAAATGGTTCTATTTTTACCATTTGCACTCCAATCCTTTGAACTATGTCGACGATTAATCGTAGTATTTTCTAAGGAAAATGATTCACCTGCGATGGCTCTTTCGAATCGAGAACGAAATTCTAGTTCACTACCATATTTACTTGGTGTTCCATCATCGATAAAAATAAATTCTGTATGATTTGGTTCCAAAGTTGCTTCATCTTTTTGAACATCTCTCGGCTTAGCATAATGCACATTAGTACCATGAACATCAAGTTGATCAACACCCGATATATAACCCCACGTGGCAATACCCTTTTCCATTTCAAAATTGAATATAGATCAAATAAGTTTTTTTGCGTACTTACAATTAAATGAATTGGTCGAGATGAGTCAGGATTTGTGCGAATAATCTCACCGATCAGTTTTGTAATACTCGTATTGATACCATTAGTGATAATCCAAACATCTGAAGAAGAAAAAAAAAGAATAAATTAAGTATTTCAAATAATGAATCAATGTAAAATACCAGTAGTTTTGACTACTTTAAGAAGACCTTTTCGAAAGATTCGAAATAATTTCGATTTTATGTTAAATTCTTTGCCACTACCCGTTATCGAAATAACCAATGATGGACGCTAAGTTCAAGCAAATCGAATGAGTATTAGAGAAAAAGAATCATATAAATTTACTTTATTGCAACATTGCCGAATGAGAAAGTCTTTGACGTCAATTGCAGAGGTATTGGGTGGTGTACGAATAAAGTTCGCTTTATTCGATTGTTTATGATTAACTGTAAAAAAAGCAAACATAAGATCGATGGTTTTTCTTTTTCATGACATGGACACTTACAAGTAATTGTTCCATGTGATTTAACACCAAGTGTGTTAAATAACTATGTAATAGTATGAGACATCAACAAGTGTAAAAGCAACAAGAAAAAAAATTATCTTCTCACATGATTGCTTTCAGATTGGGATGAAATGTCGACGAAATAGTCAACAATTGAGGTTAAGCCGGGTACGTTATTTGTCATGATCGAGCGGTTGAGTTATTTGCTTATGGATTTATAGGCAATAATTTGAAAAATCAGTCCAACAAATTACGATCACATATTAAGCTTGAATGGTAAAAAAAGAACCGACAATAAATATAAATGAAGCGTCAGTATACATACTTAATACTCAACTATCTTTGCTATTAACACCATGTGACACTCATCCTTTTGCTTGTTGTGTGTATATTTACCTGTGTCAACACATGATCGACTATCGTTATAAGGCTTGAGTGAAAAAGTATACGAAATGAAGTGGAACGCGAAGAGAAATTCTCTTATGTGAGTCCACCCAGGCAGATAATAAACGGTCATAACGGCGTTTTAACGCGTTTATCACTGCATCTTTCTGTTTTAAATCTTTTTTACAGTTAATTTTCAAGTAGCTCTGGAATAAATGGTTAAAAACGTCATATTTTCGTCTTTTTATCAGCAAAACATATTTAAACAGTACTTTTCCGTTTTACTTAGAATACCAGAAGAAGAACTAAAACCAAAAAAAATTATATTATTATTAAGTTCTGGCTGAATAGTGTGTATATGCACTTACTAGTTGTCGGTCAGTGGTAGTTTCCACTACTCGCCTCTTACTAGTGAGTAGTAAATTGTTAGTTTAACTATTTTGCGATACCTATACGTGGTCAAATAGATTTAAATCACGCAATATTAAATTGTGAGTGACTAGTCTGGTTACTTTTTACCGAGTAGTAAGTGTTACCATTTGATGCCTATTAGTACCTAGTAACTGGTGATTAAAACCTGTATATGTCTCTCATGAACAGTAAAACTTTGGATTCAATATTTATCATTAGTGAGTAGTCATTTTTAACGATGAAAATGTTTTTTATTACCAATAAGTCAACGTCAAAGTAAGTAGCAGTGTACATATCTTACTGAAAATATTCCTTATAGTGAGTTTTCGTGTACTTTTGATGTATTATCAGTGTATCTTCTCAGCAATATTTCACTTTTACTGGGATTCGACAAGAGAAATATTCTTCGCTGCTAATATTTAATGACAATGAAAATTAAGCTTATCTTTGATTTACTGCAATACTACTATCACGAACTGATTTACTGAACAAAATAGGGCTGCAACACATCTCATGTAGAATATCTTTAATAATTAGAGTATCGACAACTAATGTTACATTGACTTGTTCAATGAACATTATAACCTCATCTTACCTAGCCTCACTTTTTTAATGCACGTTTTAAAAGATCAACTCTATCTTGGTTCTATTTTGTAAATTATAATAAAGAGTAGACAGATATCATTGACGTTCAAAAACTAAATGGTAAGAGGAAATTATCTTTAATATTACTATATACGAATAAATCATATTGTCTATATAAATCATTCATTTCTCTATGAGTTATGCGGCAAAAATAATGTTTTATATTTCTCTGTTTTGAAAATACAAGTATGTATAAGTAATAAGTAAAATCAACCAAGATAGAAAACTTAGTCTTTTTCTCGTATAGTTTATAAGTATATGATACGTTAGAATTTAGTTATTTCATTAAGTTTCAATAATTAGCTGTTTCGTATTTTATCTGTTCTTTTTCTTCGTCAAGTGAGAACGTAACTCATCATCCGTCCGTATTTCAAACAATTTTTCGTTCGTTCTGTCTTTTCTTTTCGTCCAGTATGCGTAGAACGAAAAAAACGGAGGTTCTTCTTTTATCGTTCTCTCGTCCGATTAATCACTTGTTCTTTCTTCATTTTTAATTCATTTGCGTTCTAGTTCGTTCACAGAGTAGTTGTCTAACTGAGCAAGTCGCTTAATTTTTAACTCATACTGTGAATTAATATTAGATTTCCTATATGCAATACTCATCTTTCTTATGTATAAAATTGAAGATGTCCGAATTAGATAGAGATCTTTTCTGTGGAAAATCATTCACAATAAGACAAATAATAGGCCACTTATTACTATGCTGGTAATCGCGAGTTTCTATACAAAAATAATCTGATATTCGCTAAGTTAGTGTAGACATGATATATGCGATACAGATAACAATACAACCCAAAGAGTCTCATTAATGATTAGCATAGCAGAATATCATTAATTGTTCTTTAGTTAGAATGTTTGATATAGAAAGCTCACTACGCGTACTTGTGCCAATTGAGGCGTCTGATACAGCTGAATTTTCAACTAAGTGCAAAAGAAATCTTAAGTTATCGAAAGCTGCATGAGCTTTAAAAGAAATACTCTCGCTCTAGAGAAAAACATAGTGATTCTCATGCATAAGTGTAGCTTAGTCAATTTCGAAATCTACTTACAACACACTACAATTATGAGACTTCATAGTGCATCAACGTCGCTTATACCTATTCACATCTTTAAACTTCAATAATTTGGAACTTCATCCAAATAAAGTTAAATTTACCACTAAATATCGCAAACATGTTTCAAGGATGAAATATGAGTGTAAATGATTAAATTGGCTACCAGTTGATTAACTGATCGATTATATTCAAATTATAATTAAATTCATGTTAAACGAACATTTATTAATTATCTGAAACTAATATGGGATAATTTCTCTTTCATCAGTTTTTTCCGTTTTATATTAAAATTAAGTTTACATTTTACTATTTCATTACTTGTCATTGTTTTTTGGTTTTTCTAATACTGGAATGAAATGGCAAGACGTTAATGTTGTTCGATCAAATCTAAGTATTTTTCATTTTTATCTTCCGTTCCACTATTAGAAAAAAACAAAAAAAATGTCAAGTAATTCAATAGTACAGTGTAAACTTTATCTTAATATAGAAGAAAACAAACTGATGAAAGAAAAATTCTCCACATTGTTTTCAAAGAATGAATAAATAAGTATTAGTTTAACATAAATTTAATTATAATTTGAATATAATCAATCAGTTGATCAACGGAAAGTGAATTTAATTATTTATAAATCGTTGATAGTTCATCGTTTAGATGAAACATTTGATGATCATTTAGAGGCGTTATAACCAAATTATCCAAACCGTTTAAACAGTGTTGTTAGTCGTCCAAAGCGCGTTACAATATTTAATGTTTGAATGATTCCAAATGTTTAAACACGTAAAACACGTTAAAAGTCAATTTTTCATAAACTGTTTAAACACCGTTTTTGGCGTTTTCATGTCTGCCTGAGCAGTGTGAAAATTTTATTTAAACAGTAACCATTTGCATTGAAGGATTGTGTTTATTTCGAATCGATTTAGAATTCCGAATTTCGGAACTAGTCAGTTTTTCTCTACGAAATCACGTGTTTATTTGTGTAATAGATGTATTTTCTAGTCCTACAGATCATCAATGTATTAGTCAGTGACAATAATGCAGTTATGTCAACCATCTTATAATTATCGTGTATTATTTTCATACGCTCATCTACAGTTCATGCAGATATCAGATAAATATATCAATATTTATTGCTAAATGCATGATTATTTATACCAAATACAAACGTTTTATTTCTTTTAAATGGATTGAACAGACTTATTGAAAAGACCACATGTTTTGGGAAGAATATTTCCTCTCGTTGTAACTGCTGCAGCTACCGGAATGTGTCGTCTACAAAATAGAATACAAAATTATATCTATCAAACGTGTTGCATGTCAATTAGAAATGAGACTTTACCTTTACTTTACTTGTAACTAGGTAATTTATAAATTACTTTATTCCAGTTACTTGAATGAAGAGTAAATTAAACGTGTCATTCATAATCGAAAGAATATTTGAAAATAGGTTTTAAAATGTGAGTTTCGTTTTCAAAGAATTCTCACAGCTGATGGATGAGTATGATTGACTTTTAAATACTTTTGTCTGATCTCAACTTGACTAGCCTTAAGACTGAAAAAATATCTAGTCTTTTTACTATAACTCATGCATAGACATATTCTAGTGCAGGTGTAGTAACAATTGTACCAATCTTAACCTACGCACGGATTTGGATGTGTAATATTTGTATCCAATGGTTCTGTGATGATTACATCTTTCTTCTCCAACATATAAGAAAAGTGTGTATTAACAGGACATGCGGATCGGCACAAAGATATTCTGCACTATCAATTATATGTTAGTTTAAATTAACATCCGGGTATGGGCGTGAGTGTCAGTGTTGAAGAATAGAAGATTCCCGCGCATATTCACACACCCATGCCCAGTAGTCCACATCTGATTGGATCTGACGTCTGTAAATGGTTCAGCAAACGATGGTCATTTTCCATCGGATCTGCTTGTAAACAGTCATTCACAACATCGAGCTGCTCTTCTTGAGTACCGCCAAATTTTTATGGTTTTGTTTCAACCAAGCTATCCCAGTGACACATTCTGCAGCGAAAATCACGATTATTTTTTATAATGAGTAGCGTCTTTGAACTTTTTCCAGCATTTTGATACTTGGAAATGAAAACTAAAACCAAATCTTACACACGCTTCTTTTCTCTTCATGATTCCTAGGTGTTTGTAAGGGTGTGGGTGTGGGTGAGTGTATTCTTACTACCATCACCCACACCCACACCCTAGCTTGTAGAGACAGAGACTGAGACGCGGTCTCTACAAAACATTAAATTTTATTTGTACCGGAGCTCTTACTTTCATTGTACAGCTGTTGTTGTATAGCGATTTAGAGGAAACAGTAAGAAAATATGCTAATTTGTTGATTTGATTTGATGCGTTTTGTATCACTAGATGCATTGCTAATAGAAAGTTCATTATTATTCCTGTGCCTCGTGCAAAATTGTAAACGCTAATCCTTTTTCGGTTGAGAATGAACCATCATCTATTCGTTCAAATTTTCATTTACAGAAGCAAATTTTCCAATAAATTTGTTTAATATCTACTGTATTATTTGCTCCTTTGTGCAAATGACAACAAATAAATTATCATTTTAATGCACTAAGTAGTTTTTTTTAGAATAAAAAGACTTTCATTATAATTATGAAAACTCGTAATATCAAGTGATAGATTCAGACATAAATCAAATATAAGCCGCCAACATTAATACAAAACCTTTACACTATTCTTATTTCGGATGGAGAGTATTCATTTTTCTTACACACAGACAATCGAAATAGTTAAGAGACAGTCCATGACACACTCGAGAAATCGCGTCATACAAAAAATGTTGACCTACCTTTTTGTCCATCCCAAACAACAGAGCATGTAAAGAAACCTATAAATCCAAAGTTTCAGCCTTCTGTGAATGATCCTTCAGTGGATTTATGGCAAACATCGAAAGTGTCTCTATAAAGTTCTAAAATAATGATGATACTTTTTTGTTTACAGTATATCATTATACTTTTTTCTAAAAGTTAATCAAATCAAATTGAATCATACCTCAAAAGATAGAGCAAGTTGCGCTCTACAAAACTGTATATTTACATTTTCCTTAAATAATTTCTAATCACATCAATGGGGGATCAATATATGAAAAATGCCTAAAAACTTTTCAAAATTTTATGATGTTTTTTAGTATTTCGATGAAAAACAAATATCAAAAGAGATTCAGACCGAGAATATTTTCTTATGAGTTCGATAGAGCGAACAAAACTACACAAGATGCACTTAAAGAAATATCCAAAAAAAATGCGCATAGTACTTTAATTTGGTCCAAAAGATGAAATAACATTACTGTTATATAATACTTTTTATAGTATTTTCGAAATTTGCCAATCTAACGACAATATAATTAAGATTTTTTTTGAAGCTGAAGACTAAGTGATATAAGGCTTCTAGAATCAATTTGTCATGATAGTTAGATGGTCGACTCAATATGATATTATATGTATAGACGATTCCCTTTATACTTCTTATACATCTACTGTAGGCAATACTCAATATTATATAATATCATTGATACTAAATATTTCAATCGTACATTATATTATTTCATAAAAAACACTGTTGTTTCTATCTACTTAGCTTAATGCATGTTTTAAAAGTGAAACGTCAGTATAATATTCATTTGTTGAAAAAGTAAAATGTGTCTTTATTCTCCCTTCTTTCGCGGAAATCTAGATGATTTTCGTGTGTGCGATAAATTTTCGTTTTCAAGTGAGGATAACGCTCGTTTTGACGTAGTTGTAGCCGAGTTGTTTTCGACGATATCGTGTTTATTGACTATTGATCGAATATCATCAAATTGAAGCTCTGAATCGACGGCCAGTTGTTCTTGAAATGCTTCTTCCTCAATGTCCTCTTCACTATCATATTGTTCATCAGTTATAAGACTATTTTCTTTGAACGTAGATGGTTTTGGATTATTTAGTGTGTCTTTGCTTGCACTTTCTCGCGAGAAAAATGATCGAACTGTGCTCACTTTAACAAGCTCAGAAAGAGCAAAAACGTAAAGCCCTGTTTCTGAATCTTTACCATTTTTCATTTCATCAACCACTGCCTTCGGCTGCCATCGTATTTCATGTAGTTGACCATCATCAAACTTCTTCTTTAGAAATTGCTTTACTTTCGGAGATAGTGTCTGCGCTTGTCGACTTAATGGGAGAGCCCATCCTTGACTCAACGGTGGTATATGATTGCAATCGTCCGAATTGAAAGTAATTGTCTCTAATTCAAGAGATAAAGGCTCTTGGTTGTCAGCAACATCTAGCTTAGACTTATAACTAATCATTGCGAGGTCTTTCATTGATAATTTTTCGACTCGTTCAGTGTGCTTGCCATTAGCTATATGACGAAGAAGGTTACCATCATTTAGGAAGCAACAAATACACCCTTCGTAATCGCAAAAAAATAATCTTGATTTCGATTTATCGTGATCATTAGCACCAGAATCTTGGACCACTGATAATACAGCATCATCCGGTCGATCATCTGCAGAAGAATTTACGAGTCGATTTAGTTCCAGAGAAGGATTAACACAAATGAGAGAGGTAATCTTCGACGAAACGTTTGCACTTCCATCAAGCGTAATCATTTTACCAATGCCTATATTCCAAGCGCGATACGAACGAATAGCAGTTGATTCATAGATAAAATTATGTAGCTTAGTGATATCGTTAATTTTAAGTTTATTTTTCGAACGAGTAGAAGTCAGTTGACATACAAATGCATGAATATTTTTCACACCACCATATGAAGCACATGCTGCTACAAATTGAGCAGCTGCTGAAATATCATGTCTTTCGTTTAGATAGCGACGAATATGTGACTTTAAAACGGTAGCATATCTATCTGATGGACCTGTTTTAAGACAATAGTAGTAGTTAGGACATACACAAGATAAGACGTACCTTTTCTTCCTTGTGGATCTGAAAAGTCAAAACGTCTTATCGTAATGCCGGTGTTTTCAGAGAGGTGAGGCAAACTCAAAATGGTCTGTGCCGAATGATAGCATCCGGCATTATCTGATCTTAGGTAAGCATTTTTAATCATCGGATTGTGCGTTTTTACTTTGACAAGAATGTCTTGCAGAATCGACAGTACTGCATTACTATCTTGTATCACTTGATCCAACACATGAACAAATATGGTATGATCAAGAGAAATCTTTTTCATCATTTTTTTTTGTTGTTCTTCGATGTCTTCGTCATCTGAATTGCTTGATGACTCATCCTCTTCGTCAACATAAGCATCATCGTCATCACTAGCTGGTTTCATTGACACAACCGTAATGTGCCAGATAATTCCTTTTTTACCGAAAAATGCGGATTGTCCCACTCGGTATTGAAGAGCTTTCCACCTGTTAAAAATACCAAGAAAAACAACTATTTCTAAATTAATTTTTCTCCAATTTTAAGTGGTATTTTTTGTTAAAACTAATTATCTAGTTCTGTCTCAGATTATATGAGAATAGATGTCCGCTATTCGTTTACTATCACAGACTTCATCTGTTTGGCGTTTCCAAACAATATAAAAATATATTCCTATCTTTCATATATTTCTTTTTTCATTTCTAATATTTGGTAGTTCTCTTATTGATAACCAAATATATTATATCTTCATAGATCTGATTGCTGTCTATGATGCAGCAGCATCTATCTAATAAATGGTAAAAAGAGAATATATGTTTCAGAATTACTCAAAGAGTAAGAATCTATTGGATCTCTCAGCAATAAACATTTATTGATAACGCTATCTAAAAGATCCCATCGAATAAATTATAATAATCATAATGTTGATAGATATCTCAAATGTAACACCGATTAATATCGCCTCTTTATTACCTATATATAAATATCATCACATTTATATGAGCGTAAAATTAATTTTATATAATTTGTTATTCAAGTTATCTTAGATAGACTTATCTTTTCTTAGATCAAGAGTTTTCTAATGTACTTCACTAAGTTTTTCTTCATTATATTCACCTGAATAAAAAGCTTTCAGCACACTCCCTATAGGATTAAAATGTGAAATACGATAGAGCCGCCGACACTGTAAAATTGTGAACTCAGGCGTTTGTCACATATATGATGAGCTCCTGCTAAGGTGTCTGTCACGACTGTGTGAGGGAAGGGTGTGGGTGTGGGTGTGGGTGGGGTGTGGGTGTGGGTGTGGGTGTGGGTGTGGGTGTGGGTGTGGGTGTGGGTGTGGGTGTGGGTGGGTGTGGGTGTGGGTGGGGTGTGGGTGTGGGTGTGGGTGTGGGTGTGTGGGTGTGGGTGTGGGTGTGGGTGTGGGTGTGGGTGTGGGTGCGTGTGGGTGTGGGTGTAGTTGAGCGTGAGTCATTTGCGCACTAACATATACATTCACACCCACACACCGACACCCACACCCAATACTATATGCATCATCAAAGCGACTTCCATGTCAAGGAACACTGCTTTTCTGGCCCCTTTAACAGACAAAAATAAACAACTATAGAAATCAAATAAGAAGAACAATAGTTGTGACAGCACAGTAATAACGGAAGCATACAGATAACAACCAGAAGACCATATTGAGATCCCACAGGCGGAAACATATACATATATTGCTAAGGGTATATGCATGAAGCGAAAGACAGGGAAAGCACACGTATTTATGACATTTTGCATCAGCAGTCTTATGGAACATAATATCTACCAGCCATAGTATTGAAAGCATTCTCCAACAAATATTTGAATTCTATGCCATCTAATGAGACCCTTAGACAAAGTCGAAACGCGTTATGGTTGCTGTATATTAAAACACATCCACACCCTAAAACAAAAGTAGTGAAATAGAGAAGCGAGAAAATACTGGTGGATGAAGAACATTGTGACGCAGTTAAGATCCATTGCTCTATTTTTCATTCATGTTTGTAAAGTTGAGATTTATGATTTAGTTTTTATGTTTGTTATAAGCGTGGCCAAATCACATCAGTAATATTATTTGAGTTGAAATTTTATGCACTCCTTTAGTAGTCACGATTCGCAGCTACCCATGGCGTAAATTTCTGCGAAAAAAACGCGTTCTCAAAACGCGTTTTTCCATAGTTGCGAAACGCGTTAATGCTGACCGGTTTAACGCATTTCACATCTGCTAATACGAACGCTGTGAAACGATCGTTTTGCTAAAAACGTTTCGTAGCGTTTCTCTAACTGTGGTGTCGTATATTCTAGATGGAAAAAAATGAAAACCGTCAAGTACTTCATGCACTTTGAGTTGCAGATACAATTAATGTTCTCACTTACAGTTTTCATACACCTTTAGAGCTATAACTTAGATGAATTTCGATAAAGCCAACACATA